CAATAAGCATTACCCTGCACTTAGCAAATCCATAGATACTATATCAGGTCTTTGAGAATGGGGCAATTGCCAGGTATTAAAATGATACTGTGAAATTTGCTGGTACATAACATTTTACTAACACTTTCTATCACCTGTTAATTTCTTCTTTTATCCTTCTTTTCTTCCTTGACTGCTATGCTCCTCAATTCATGCATTAACCTCTCTTTCCAAATAAGAATCATAGTATCATCCAAGATTCTGATTTTCTACCTTATCTAGAATTAGCATTCTCCGCAGTCACAACTTACCCTCAGTATTCTGTTCTTTGCTTCAGGAAATCAAACCATGGTATAGCACCCATTATTGACAGCCAACTCCGTCTTCTTTTCTCTCCACTTCTGCACCATTCTCGGGTGCTCTAGTACCTCAGCATGGTCTGACCTTACAGCTGGTCCTGCTTGCAGCAGGAGAGTGGACTTCATCACCCGAGCTCATCACAAACCTGAATTCTTCTATGAATCTGTGATGCTGAATGGTTTGCTTTAATAGAAGCAACATATCAGAGGGTTGTTCTTTTGCTTGTATTCCTATGTGTCTGGAATTCTCTACTTGGTCCCAAGTAAGGTATTTTAATAACTTTTCCCTTTCATATTTTATGTGAAAGAGTTCTTTTGCTCCTTGTGAATGACTGCATTTATGCTCTAATAAGAAACATACTGTTAAAGTTAAAATAAAATAGCCACAATCTCATAATATATTTTATATGTTGATTAGTACTTACAATGTTAAAATAACTTTATCATACTCTTTGTTCAAAGTAGTTGTAACAAAGAAATTACTTTTTAATCCTTGTTTAGTCTCTTTTGTGTGAGATCAAATACGTGTTTAATTTTGCATAGTATTACCTGCAGAACCTATTCGCTTATTCTCTTCTGTATGCTGTAGCTCTTTCTAGTCTTCATAATTAACAGAAATGTGAACACTTAGAGCCTGCAATATTTAAGTACATTTATCATAAGGAAACATATTTCATAAGAAAGCTTATGAAAAGTACAAGAATTGAATGCTTGAATTTCATTTTGTTGTATCTTTAAGTGGTCACTGGAAGAGAACAGAAGCTACCGGCACTTCTAGATTTCTGTGGTACTGAAATTCTGTTACAAGGACATTGTAGTTCTCAGCTTTTGAGCTGAGCCTTATGATGATTTAGTTAAATGTACAGCAGGCAGAATGAAATCTGATCCTGATATAACTTTTACCTATGCAGCTGTGACTAAGTAAAACCTCCAAAATTACATTTAACTATGAGTGCCTTTAAATTAGAACATTTAATCAGAAAGTGAATCAAATGCCCTTAGCACATGTGACATGGACATGCTTAAATCACTAGCAGTAATTTCATAGATCACTTTCAGTGATCTTGTTTCATTAGTAGGACTGGGGAAGAGTCCAGAAAATTAACCTATCGGACTAGAAATGATTAGAAACCCCACAGCAACTTTTGAAATTATACCCTACGCTTTCTTAATGTGTGTGAAAAACACTTACTGTGTTTTTTACCGGAAGAATTTTTTCAAAGGAGTAGCTGACAATGTTTTGTAGTTTTAATAATAATAGTGGTGATCTTTGAAGGTAGATCTTTATTAAAACACAGTCAAGTAGGGCTGTTCCTTAATTACTCAGAATCTTGATAGGAAAAAAAATTCTACTTTGCTGTCTTTTTTTAATGTGTAATTAGACACATTTATCTTAAAATTATAATTTTTCCTTAAGGAATAGTTTCATTTCAAGGCTTTATTCTAGCACCTGGGTAGGCTAACTCATGCTACTACCCTTTTTCTGCCAAGTCTTGTCCCCAGTTCTGACTGTAAGATAAGCATTTTGTCTAACTCATGTAGCTGTTATTCGATATTGCTGGAAGTTAGACCTCTGCTTTTTATTACAGTGAAGGCTGTTCATGTTTCTTGTCTATAACAAAATCAGTCCAAAGGATTTCATTTAACTTCCTGGGCAAGCTTGAGAGCTTTCATAGTACATATACATGCTAGGCATGACATAGATTAGCTCAACAGATTCTTAAATCATTTATATTGTGAGATTTTTTTATAGCAATTAAAATTAGCTTTCTGTGCTTCTGAGCATATGAAGATCTCAGTAGTCCCAGACCTCTTTACTTTTTTTTTTCTGAGGAGGAAGAGCTAGGCATATGCCAAAATAAGGTATCTAGGAGAATGGAACATCTACATTCAGAAATTTCACCCATTAACCAAGTAAGGAAAAGCATTTTAGTTAGCTGTTCACCCAAATGGTGCTACTTTGTAGTGACTGAATTCTTTCTTCCTCTTAAAAGGCCTATCCTGCTGTTCTATACACGTTACATATTACCTCTTTCCATATGTGGCAAACCCATTCAATACCCGTAATGCAGGGTGTCAAGCTAATGGTCCTCGCTGACATAGTTCTAATATTTTTAAGAACAAGAGTAATGAAATTGCTGATCCGTGGACTAATACTTTCCCCTTCTGTAATTATATTTGTAACATAGTGCAACTTAGAGCATGATCCCAGGGCCACTATAATAAATGTTGATGGTCTTATTGACGTCATTGATTCATTGTTCTCCACTGGGTCGGTTTATAAGGCCACTGCAGCTATCTGAAGACCATCCTTTGGAACAGACGTCAGGTGGCAGTATTTCGTAGCACAAAAGAACATAGCTCTCATCATACAGACAACACTGTTTGAAAAAAATAATTGGACTCGTGTGTAATTGCTAGATTTTTTTGATAAATAAGAAAGAATCATAGACTAATAGAGAGGTGATATGTTTGTTCCTAATAGATATAAAATAAACATTCTCGTCTGTTGTGCTTTTACTTTGTCTGCTTGTTGAGGACCAGTGCTGTGTATACTACTCTCCCAGTTGAAAAGGAGTGGAAGCAGTTATTGTGTCAGTTGTGTGTTAGTTATGATTTAATCCAGTTCTTTTTCTGTCTGTAGACTAACACTTAGTTTTCAGTTTATATTTTGTTGGTAATAAAAGGTAGTTTAATTTTTTGGTTTTTTGTGGTTTTAATAATATCTATCTGGACTCTATATTTGGTCAGTGATAGTTTTTACATAGTGATTAAATCTTCTATAAAATTTTAGAAAAATACACAAAACTGATGCACAGTCGATTCTGCATTCTGTGGTGCTGTTCAATATTGAGTTAATTTTGTAAATACATTGTTATCAAATTTCACATATGACGCAGTATAGTTAAACTTGTCTACATAATGGGGCTGACACCTGATAGCAATGGCATTCTTAACATAAATTGACCTTTTAGTTGCTGTTCTGTTCTACTTCTGTCAGCATAAGGATGTTCTCTTTATAAACCTCATGAGGAATTGTGGCTTTGGTGCTAGGTACAAAGGTGATTTCTCTCCACTGTGACAGAAAGCTGCTTTTGCAGGATTTCTGATTTTGCTGTAAGAGAAAAAGCGATATTTGCCTTTCACACCTGGTCATGTAAACGTGGCCAAACACCCTTCACCCCATTGAAAGCCTGAACACTGTTTGTGCTTCAAAAGGAAATTCTTATTCACAAAGGAAAGCTGGATTCTAAGACAAAGTAAGAGGAAAAACATATTGCACCAGTGAAAATGATATGCAACCAATGTTCTGCATTAAAAAGAAATCTCTCACACAATGGTGATGGTTTGTTCCTGTAGGATGAACAGGAAGTGTGGTTATAACTGAAAAGATTGTTGTTGCTGTAAAAATGAGTGTACCAAGCTTAAGCAAATATTAGCCTACCACCAGTTATTACAGGTCTTTGTCCGCTATCAATGAGTTACGAACAAAATTGAACACGTTTATAAAAATTTTGTCATTCGGAATAGATGAAGTGGGTAATTTTAATTTATAATAAAAAAAAATCTCAGGATTGATTGACAAAGATTTTGTTGGATCAGAAAACTGCGACAATATCTTGTTTGCATAGTGCCATGAAAAAAAGATATTCTAAAAATTAAATTTAATAGCAGTATGTATCGACCAAATAAATGCAAGTACTTTTGACTTTTTATGTTTTGGAAGTTCTCTTCTAGCACCTTTTGACAGTTTATTTCCCCATCAGCTCTGAATAGAAAAAAGGCTCTTCCTTGATTCGAGCAGTAGTCATGATATGATGATATACTGAATTAAGAACATCTTATTAGACAGATACTAGTATCTGTCATAATCTTATTTCAGTTTGTGTGCATATCTTAAATGTTTGTTTTGTTTTTCTGGTGAATGTAAGGTAGCAGGTATTAACCTTTCCTAAACGCATTTGAAAACTGGTTGTGATAAACTGACTTGGGAGGTGGGGGGAGGGAGAAGGCAGAACCTAAGCCCTTCTGCATTATTTAATTGTAGCATTTTCTAGTTAACTGAACAGGTAAAAGTCTGTAATCTTGATTTGTAAATGCGAACTACTATAAATAATGTAGATCCTGGAAAATACAGAAGAGGTTATTCAGCAGTTCCCCTTCCTTTCAGCCTCCCTGAAGGTTCAGGAATAAGCAAACAGAAAGAATAACCAAACAAAATGAGCACACATCTGATGTTTAAGCCCTCCTCCAGCACTTTTTATGTACATAACCAGAAGTCACTCAAGCAGCTGCAGCACATTAGTTCCGATAGTTTAACTGGCAGCTTTACAGTTCCGACAAAAGCTGTGCTAAAGCAGTTTCTTCCTCCCGTGCTTACTTGCTATGATAGCTAATAAGTGATCTTTGGCAGCAGGGCTGTGAGAGGAGTGGTAATGTTTAATAGGTTTCTGTGGAGGAGTTAGCTTGCTTTTTTCTGTGTAGATCATTATCTGTAGAGAGACGCTAAGGGCAGGCGACACCATGTTGAAAACAGAATAGGCTGAACTGGAGTTTGAGCTCTGCACAGTTCTTGGGAACTGATTTAGAAAGGAAATATTTTAAGCGGTTGAGCCAATATTCAGTTGTATTGGACCTTAATAACAAACTTACTCGGGAAACATGGCTCAGCAGACAAGTCCCGACACTTTGGGTGTTCCTGAAGTGGATAACACACATTGTCAAAATCCATGGTTAAATGAAGATCTTGTGAAGACCCTGAGGGAAAACCTGTTACAACATGAAAAATCCAGGACATCTAGGAAATCTTCACCTGCTTCTCCTCTGCTGTCTCCAGTTATTTCTCCTCGAAACTCTCCAAGACTTTTGCGCAGGATGCTTTTAAATAGCAGCATACCAAAGCAGCGGCGTTTCACAGTGGCACATACCTGGTAAGCACTGAGGAGGTTATGATGAAATGTCAGATTAACTTTTTTTCCACAGAGCATTCATCTTCTTGATGTCAGTGCTTATATTTGTTGGTTTGATCCCTGCATGAATCCTTCTAGTTGAAAGAGACAGTTCTAATTTGTTACTCAACTTAACTTAAGACCTCAAGTTTAAAATACTAATTTATAGAAACTAAGAAAACGTATATTTGCTTGCACCAAAGCTGCTTGATTTCCTCTGATTTCTTAGGTAATAATTCCTTTCTTCCCCTCCCCCAGAAATAAAATCTTCAGAAGGAAAAGTACTTACCTCATTCTGTGCTGTTCAGGCCAGAGTGAGTAGGCTATTTTTTTTCTTTAATGTATGGAGTATTTATTTATTTATTTGTTTGTTTATTTATTTATTTATTGGCAATTTATGACCTGTCCACACCTAAGCAGAATAACAGAAGCTTGTTTATCTTTTAACCACTCAAATTAATAAAGACGTGAGAGAGAAGAATGGTGCGAATACATATTGTGTATGAAACAGTGGTTTTTATTAAAGCAGTTGCTAGAATAAACAGAGGAAAGATGGAAAGGGAGCTCCTTGTTAAATTATTCACTAGTGCTATTTTTTTGGTAACTTGATCATTTCTAAGACATGTATTTGTGATCAAATCTGTAAAAGACATTAATTTTGTTGCATCAATCTTCTGTAAAACAACAGCATAATTTCATTACATAATTTATTATTTTTTCAAACATTACATATGAGATTATTGTAACTCAATAACACATTCCTGTTTGCTTTGATGGTGCTGACATCTTGATGTGTTCTGTATTTCTTGTGAGATTTTTTTCCCCATCATTTTTCAAATAAAAATGTAATACAAAGAAAGAAGGACAATGAAATAAGTTCGAATAAAGTCAGTCATGCATTCTAAGCAGCAAACGGAAATGCTGTTCAAGTTTATCTTCATTTGTCTGAAACCAGATTTACACTGTAGCTGTGTGACTGGTGTGTGTATTGCACATTGCATACCTGTGTACATAAATGTTTACAATGTATGTATTTCTGTAGCTAAAATACTCCTTTGATAAAATAATTTATCAAATTTGCCCTTGAAAAGGATGAGGAAAAAGAAGTGTGCCTTTATACTTAACGAATATTTGTTTTGAAACCAGCGTACCTGGTCAGAAATTGCATGTGTAACAGAGAAAACTGAATGAAATTAGGATATTTCATGTTCCTTTAAAAGTTATGCATAAATCCCAACAACATTAAGGATCTCCAAATGCTGATCTGCATTAAATAATTTATAAAACAGTCTATACATGAGAACATGTAGGATAAAAAAGAATAATTTGGGCAGAGCTCTTTTATATTATAAGATGAAAATAAACAAGAATTTGTGAAAGTTTACAGAGGGAAATTATCGTGTGTGATTATGTGTCTGTTATGTTAGTTATCGTAGACTAAGATGACAGAAGTAGGAAGAGTATTAAAAGGGACAGGTATGAAGTGAACAAACAAGTTTGGGCAACATGAAAGGGCAAATGCTGGTGTAGTATTAAAAAGTGGAATTTTGTTTAAAAGTACTTCCTTTAGTGAGCTTCAGAAAGTTTTGAGTTTGGGTAGAATGCCTTTTCAGCACGATGTGGAGTGAAGGAAATGCATGGGTTTTTCCCAAATATGTAAAATACTAGGCCCGCAGAATACTGTTGTTGAAAATTCATAGTTCTTTCTAAATGATTTGTAAGACAGGCTCATCTTAGTAGCACTCTCTTTTTAAGAAAGTAGCGAATTATGTAGTCAAGCAAAGAGTTGCAAAAAATTACCTGAGAACTTACAAAGAACAATAGTATTTCAGAAGTGAAGCTGAAGAGAAAAACCGCTGATCTTAAGTAATAATATGTGTGATCAGCATCACAGGCATATGAAGGAAGCAGAAGCACTACTGTGTGCTTACAATATTTATTTGTTGCCAAATCACTTCAAGTCCATAGTTACTGATACATCTTCACTTTGTTATCTGTTCAGAAAACTGAGATGCTGCGTGCTAGACATGTGAGTTCTAGATGCTTTGGCTACATAGGCAGTATAGTGGTTTTAATTCCATATCCATATTTTAGGCAGCTCATAGAAAAATAGTGCTTTTGAAAATAGGGTAGTTGTAAGCTTACTCCAAAATGTTGTACTATGGAGGATCCATTTCGGCTTTAGTGCTTGTCACTTATTCCACCATAGTTATGACCTGCTCTGTAAGTTCTCTTATTTTCTTGTATTTCTAATTTAATTTGTTTTGTACTTTAACAATAGTTGTTGAATTTTTGTACACGTCTTTCTTGTTTAGTTCATCATTTGCACAGGCATTAAAAGTTTTAATAACATGATCTTATTCAAGTCACCAATAAGTTGGAAAGCCATTCTGACTTTGCAGAGTACCACTAGATTTATAAATTTAGTATTTTCTTATGATTAGAAGTTTATGAATGTAGGTAGCATAAAAACCAAATGTATAACACTAAAAATATTGCTGTGTGTTCTTTTGTAATGCCTGTAGTGGATTGGGATGTAGAACTGTTGACACCAAAATGCATTTTCTTTATGATGTTACTGTTATCCTTTCACATGAATAACTGAGTTATCATTTTTAGTCATATGCCAGGGATATTCAGTCTTGTAAGGATTGCATAAATGGCCTGGTTGTGAACTGTCAAAATGCCTTCCATCTGGTTTTATGTGATGAAGTATAAAATCATAAGATGTAATGTTCATTTACATGTACATTTATACAGTAGAACAATGGTATATTATGTAAAAGGCATGCAATTACTTATGATTAAAAAAGGTGATGTAGTATGTAAGCTTTTAAGACCTCTTTAAGAAACTCTATGGTTCTGCTTTCTAGAAAATTTGGACCATTATGTCTTCTGAAAACCACGTCTTGTATGAAAACTGTCATGAAAAGTGCACACAAACTGGGACATTTAGTAGGGAGTGCTTAAGAAATTGATGGAACCATTTATTTAAATCAGTTCTCTCTGTATTGGTTGTGTTCAGCAAGGCATGACGTAATAGGTTATTTTTAAAATTTGTTTTTAGTAGGAGGTTTCCATGCACTATGTTCAGAAATGTGGTTATGTATCTTGATTTTGCTTTCAAGGGTGTAATGGGAAATTTGCCAATGTTTCTTTCAACTCAGAGTTCATCACCAGCCCTTAACGTCAGACATTTTATGAGTCCTTCTCTCCTTCCTTTTCTTCTTTATCCTTTGCCAGCTGTAACTCTGAATTCATTTTAACACTTGAAAGGTAGACGACGAATTTTTGGATTTTAGAGAGGAAAAAATACAGTATTAAGAGTGAGCTGAAATAGAAGATTTTAAGTGGTAGAGATCCACAGGGTCTTCATTTTTGTTGGAGAAATTTCTGAACAACTTATAGCTCCAGAGAGTGTTACAGCTACTCTTGCCTATAACTGTGACATTAAAATTGTTTAAGCTATATTCAATTTTTAGCCTGGATCGCTCTCAGTCTATAGACAGTGTCAGTCTACAGTCTAGAGGAAACAACCATAGCAACTGAAAAGAAACAAGTGTTTCAAAGCTTCCTGGCCAGGAATTCAAATATACTCTAGCCAAAAACAGCTCAAGTTCTTCAGAAATCTGGATTATATTGCACTGTTGTAAAAGTAATTGTAATGCTTGAACATCTGGTCAATATACTGACACAACAGCACATGTTACAGTTGGACACAGACAAGATAAATTAGGTCTTCTGGTATGTGCTTGACAAATTCAGTTTCTGGCTGGTCTTGGTTGGCTCTTCCTAAGCCTTTTCTAAGCCATCTGTTACCCTAGTGCAGTTGGACAGGGGAGATCATCAGGGTGGGATCGTGTGTGCTGCGATTTGTGAGGAAAGAAGAAGGCCTTCGGTTACAGGGAAGGAGACTGTCGATTCCCCAGCTGTGTGGACAGCCAGTGTGTGTGAGACAAGTCCAAAGGTCTGTGGAAGGATGTTTAGATACGTTAAATCATACAGCTTTAGTTAATTCGTATGGGAAGCCAGCTTTCCTGTATTTTCCATGAAAAATTCCTTTCTGTGGGAAAGGGAGGAGAAGCTAGAAGCAAAAATATTTGCAGCAGGATGGTAGGGTCAGTGCAACATAGCAACTAAATTGTATCTATTTAATTGGAAGTATGAAGTCATGGCATGCATGAGCTTGATATTTTTGGCCTTTTTTCTTTGCTGCCTTAATAATTCTCAGTGAACACAAAATGTTCAATCAGTCTTTTCTTTCTTTTTTTTGCTGTTATACACAAATTTGGACAGAGTATTTTCTGTCTTTATGGTTTATTTGTGTGTGTTCAGATACAACAAGTAGTGATATATGACCTTTTTATTCATTATGTAAAGTGGGTTTGTTATTCATGAGTCAATTTTCAGTCTTCCCTTTGAATATCTGTCCCCTCTCCAGCTCTTCTGGGGATCATTTAGTACTTTCTGATGTTCAGGGTTTCTTGTTTTTTTTTAAACATGTACCCCCAGACCTACCCATTTAATACGATTACTGACAGTAAGAATGTAAGTATGTGCTCACTTACATAGAGTACTTTCATATGAATTCAGCCAGCCTTTGTCCCCACCCATGGTAAATAGTTTTACATTGGTGTTGGCATTCAGATATGAAAACGATAGATGCCTTAGAAGTAGTTTAGATAGGTACGGGTAAGGTGTGCCATTTTAAGTTTCAGGAATGTAACTGACATAAGAGTACTGATAAACTCAAGTCTTTGTTTATTTTTGTTGCACAATATATTTTCATGAACTTTTAGTACCAATTGCAAAAGACAGCAAAACCTCAAGTGTTCATTACAGGTAGATTGCCGAGGAGCTAAATATTCAACTTAATGTGGTGCTATACTGCCTGGTTCAGTGTATTTATCCTGATGCTACTAAACTACGGTGAAGCTAGATGAAACTGAAACTGTAGACTTTTTCTCACTACAATTTGCTTC